TGGGTCAAATATACAGTACGCTAATATCTTGCCACAGATTGTTTAGTACCGTAGTGGAGTGTTCGGTGACCATTGAATTAGCCAGTGATTCATATTTTATGTGTATTAATTTATTCATCAATTTTCGTGACTGACAGTACTGCCCACATTTTAGTAAAAAAAACGCAACTGGTGAAACAGAAGAGCATCGCCAGGCGATGGACGCGGGGCTCTTTGGCAACGACCGCATAGAGGTCAAAATACGCGTTCTATTTTTACGCGTTAAATTTGGCTATTGCGTTTTGCCCCCTCCGGAATGTTCTACTTTCGCAGCCTAATCGCACGTTTTTCGAAAAACGTCGAAAAAACACAGGAATTAGTAGAAATGTTTCTGTTTTGGGCGGATTATTGATAGAGAATAATGTCTTTATTACAAAAATGCTGAAAAACCGTGAGTTGTTGCCCTAGTTATTTTTATTGGCGAAAAACTGCGAACTCGGCAAATTTGGTTGCACAACTTCCCTTTATCATATACACCCAGCGACACCGATGCCAGCTGACTGTGTACCAAATTGGTAGGAGGTAATACATTTGGGGCGAAAGTATTGAAAAATCAGTTTTTGGATGTTGCAATGGCAGTGGTGGGCCAGGATTTTTTTCCAATTAGTGACGGCACGACCTACCTGTGAAGTATGAACAAAACCAGCCGAGCCGTTGCTGGTGAAAAGTTACCCCAACTTTGGGGTCAAATTTCTCGGTATTGAAAACAGATATTAAAAATTCAAATAGTAATTTTGTGCCCACACTCAAGCTGAGTAGAATGAGCTATGTCTGAAGTGTTTTATCCCAAATTTGTAGGAGGAGATACATTTGGCGCGAAGCTATGCAAAAACCAGTTTTTTGGCTGTTGGTATGGCAACGGTGGGCCAAACATTTTTTTCAGAGTTTTCACCCCCCCCCCCCCCCACACACACACACACACACACATCATCAATCTGATTAAAATAAGATCCTGGTTGGCTTAATTTTTTTTTTTTTATATAATTACTATAATTATTATTTATTTTAATTATTTACTATAATTATTATTATTTATTTTTAATTATTATTAAAAATTAATTTAATTATTTTTTAACGTTACAATTATTTTGCTGCAAGAATGGTTTTGTTCGTGAAAGCCACCTGGATCTGAACAACCCGCATAGGAACTCTCGTTCCAGTCTCGCAATTTACGAGAAAAACAGCAGCCAATCAAATTCGTTGCAACATGTGCAAGATTACGCGAGTGTAATTGTTTTTGTTATGGTCGCCAATTGATTTTTCGTCAGCGTGAAGATTTCGGAGTTGTTATTGGTAAGTATATTGTGTATTTATAGATTTGTTTCTTGGTAAAAAAAAAAAAACGACAGACAACTTTAGTCAACTGACAGTGTATGTATGACATGATATTGTGAAAATTAAAGCAATTTTGTTTGTATTCATTCGTAATGATGGATCTAATTCAATCACTTTTTGTTATTTTGCGTCGGAGGTTAGCTGCAGTTCTGTAGCTCAGTTGGTTTCGCTGTCGGGTATTTCGTTCCTCGTGGTGTTAACGCGAAATCAGAGAGCTACAGTTCTATCCTATGCGAGTTGCTCTATTTTACCCACAGGCGCCTGTGATTTTACCGACCTGAAATCAGCGCGGGCCGTAACAGCAGTTTTTTTCATTATTTTCGCCTCAAGTTTCTACTGTCGATGGGTTCCGAAACTTTTTCATCAATTATTTTGAGGACGATGGTTCGAAATTGGTCGATTTCACGAAGAAAACCGCGGAAAATAGGAAAACTACAGAGAAATCCCAGTGTTTGCCGCCATAATTGAATAATTTATCGTGACGTAACGTGAATTGGAGCTGTAAATACAAGTGAGCTAATTATTAATTTTGTTTTTCAGTTTCAGATTGTTAGCTACTATGTCGTATGTAGCTTTGGTTTTAAAAAGGAGTTTTTGAATAAAGCTGGAAACCTTGCCAGTGGATACACCAGAAAAAAATATTCTCCGGAATACAGATGAAATTATTGGATTGAAAAATGGTTGGCTGTGCCCAGCAGGGCTGATATGATATGTTTTTAG